TATTATTATTATTATTATTATTATTATTGTTATTGTTATTGTTATTGTTGTTGTATTATTGTTATTTATAATTTGTACAAATAACCTCCCTGTGGTTCGACCCCGGTCTTGCCGAGTTATTTATTACTTCGACACTCCTGCACTTGGGAGAAGACATCAACCTTTTAGTCGTGTCATCAGTAAATTGAAGATGCAAGATCCTTAAGCCATTCTTCCCCAAGACAATACCTTCAACCAAGCCTAATTCATATCCCTTAGATAACATCTTACTAAGCCACTCAACAACTATAGTAAAAGGGAAAAGGCGTAGAGAATCTCCTTGGTGAAGCCTTTTTTCCATACCAAACTCTTCTATGAAAGAGCCATTAACTAAGATAGAGATCCTATATGTTAAAATATTTTGTCTAATCTAACACCTTCATTTATCTCCAAAACCCATATAACTCAAAGCTTGAATGACTATTATATAAACTTCCAATCAAACTGCTAGGCCTAAACTCTTGTAATGCCCACAACTTCATGAATGATTATGAGAAAAGACCTGTTAATACCCTTACGCAAGCAACTTGAGTTGTGAAAGTCCTTGACCAAGCTTCCTTCAAAAATAAAAAAATCATACCATCTGGCTATGGGGTTTATTACCATCATAAAAATAAAAAAATAAAAACATCAGCTTTAACTTCTTTCATAGAAATGGACTTTCCAAATAAGAGGAAAAATATGGGAGTAACTTATTGAACTCCAACTTCGAGCTAGAAGGTCTGAATAGATTCTCATTGGAATCGAGGCTTTTGAAGAAAACCACAACTTCCTTTTTATAAATGCAGGATTTGAAATCAAATTCACCCCTACTATGAGAGATAAAATTTCATTCCTTCTTTGTCTAGCTGTAGCTGTAAGGTGGAAGAGCCTAATGTTTCTATCACCCAACCTACACCATTGAAGTAGAGTTTCATTTATGGAATTTTTATAATGTATAAACTACCCACTAAGTCTTTATTTATCAAAGAGTATGTTATGGAATAACAATTTAAATTGTTCTTTTTGTCAAAAGTTAATTGAAATGGTAACACATAACATATTCGAATTTATTATGAGATAGTATAGAAGCTGTAATCTAAATTTATGCATTGGTTGTGTCAAATGTTGATCTTGCTTAAATAATTTTTAGATAATTTTTATATTTTGAAATGGTATAGTTTAGGGATCTATGCCAAAAAAATATATTTGGCGCTCATTCTTTTTTTGTATAATTTAGCATGTTTGGATTGCTCACAATTATATGGTTTTTAGTAATAAAAAAATAAATTGGAATAATGTATATTATTTCATTTTTTTATCTAGTTGTAATTTGGATAAAATATATTAATGAGAGTTTTTGCGATATAAAATCAAAGTTATTATATTTATTAAACTATCTTCTTATATGGACTAGTAAAATAACATTGGGAGTAGATTCATTTTAGATATCTCTCCCATCATATATGCTTAAATAAAATGTTGATAAGTTATTAGAAAGAAAACTTAAACGTGTTTTCAGTGATCATGAAGGAAAATTTCTTTGCATTTTCTCTTGCTCATAAGTAATATGAAATCTAATGAAGTGAGGTGTTCACAATTAAAAAACATTTTTTTAGTATTGAGTAATGAAGTTGAGGTGTTCACAATTAAAAAATATTTTTTTAGCATTGACTCCTACAATGTTTTTACTCATCAATGAATGAATTGTAATGTCAATTTTTCATAATGTTATCACTTGGACTAAAAAAAATATGTGGCCTTGGCTGTGGCAAGACATGTTTAATGTTATTTTTAATATATGCAATCTATCTTTTTTAGTCCATTCTCAACATGTTCATAAAAAGAAGAGTTAAGTAGTGAATAGTCTTAGCCAATGTAAAAGTTTTTTGAGATATTGATCTAGTAGTATTGCTATAGCTTTTATTCAATTTTATTTTTCTTGTTTTTTGATGAAGGGTTATTGTTTTATAAGAAAGTTCCTTGACTTTATAGACTTTATATTATATTTTTTCTCTATCAAGCCATGTTATTAATGGATATAACAAGTGTCTAATAGATCATTCATAATTCATAAACAAAAAAAAATCTATCTTTGAAAATCATAAATTAGATTTGGTTTTGACTTTTATATATATATATATATAATTTTAAAAAATTTAAACTTGATAATTAAAGACACTTTATTTTTATGTATTTTAGAGGCAAAAAAAAAAGAGATAAAAAGGAAAACAATTGTAATATCACTATATTTTTTGTAAAGAGCTTTATTAGCTGAAACAGTGCATGTTATGCTATTATGAACACAAAGGTGACAAGAAATGATTCCATGCCTTTCTACTTCATCAACAGGTTGGTTCAAATCAATGAACATTATCCGGTTTTAGCTAGGACCACCACTACTGATACTTTAATGATGGATATAATTGTCTGAAAGAAAAACCACTTGAAAGTTCGAGGATCTTTTTGATTGATTTGCTATTTTGATTGGCATAGTCTTTTGGATTTTATTTATTCAAACTTTATGAAAGTGAGAGTGGTATTGTATATTCACGGATCTAGATTTTGGGTGGTAGTTATTATTTTTTAAAATGTTTTTATTTGAAAATAAATTAAAATAATTTTTTTAAAATAAAAAAATTATTTTCAATATTAGTACATTAAAATCTAAAAACACATAAAAAATTAATTTAAAAAAATTAATTCTTTTAATAAGTGCTGCCCAACCGCACCACCAAACACCTCTCTAATTCAAAAAGCTTCTTCTTCGCCCCTTTCAAAAGGAATGCCTAATGGATTTACAAAAACCAAATTGTGCTTTAAGATTAGATGTAAGTATGAATGATAAACTCAAATTTAGCGGGCCTAAAAAAATGAAGGGAATGACCCATTCTACCTTAAGCACGGCTAAGGGAATCACCCATTCTTTCTTGAGCTCGACCAAGGAAATGAACATTCTTTTCAGGGCACGGCCAAGGGTACCTTTCTCCCTTGGACACGACCAAGGAAATGACATCATCTCCTTTAGACATGGCTAATAAAATGACCCTTTTTTATGCACGATCAAAGAAATGATGTCATCCTTCTTGGAAACGGCCAAAGAAATGACCCTCCTCTCCTGGACTCATCCAATGAAATAATCTATCTCCCTTGGACTCAACCAAGGAAACAACGCATCATCTCCTTTGAACATGGCTAATAAAATGACCCTTTTTTGTGCACGATCAAAGAAATGATGTCATCCCTCTTGGAAACGGCCAAAGAAATGACCCTCATCTCCTGGACTCATCCAATGAAATAACCCATCTCCCTTGGACTCAACCAAGGAAACAACCCATCTCTTTTGGGTTTAGCCAGGAGAAGGACCCCTTGGGTCTAGTCTTGGAGAAAAACTCGGCCTTCATGAGCTCATCTATTTTTTATATCCTAGTCTCTTTACACCCTTTAGGTGTATAAAAATCTCATGAGGGCCTACCATATTTATTCCTCATTAAATGTTATCAAGATAAGATAACACTTCAGCCCTTTCTCTTCATAAAAGAATAAGACTCATGAGTTATAAATACATAATAAATCCTCTAAGTTCATAATTTCTTCATTCTCAATACTTGTTAGCATATGTATTCTCAGAATTTATCTCTTTAAAATATCTTTATATGTTTCCTCTCTAAAAAAAACTCACTTAAGCATCTAAAAGTCCTTATTTTCATTAAATGGTTACAAATACTTTCTATCAACCACCTTAACTTAATTCTTAGGCATAAACTATTCAGTATCTTGGATAATAAAAATAAATCAGATTATTAGAACCAAATTAATGTTTAATTGATTATCCAATACAAGAGATTTATTCCCAAGTTACTTGGATTTTTTATGACATCATTAATGACCAATTCAAAATAACTTATTGTCTTTGATCTCTATGTATATTTTTATATATCGATGCACTCTTTGTATTGTTTTATTTTGTTTTTCTTTTATTTTTTATTGCATGTTCCTCATTTTAATACTCAAGTATTGTTTAAGGTTTTAAATTTTTCCTTGAAGTGTATAAGTTTTGTTTTATGAGCACTCTTCCTGTTAGTCCTACTCTAACACTGCAAAATCACTTCGAATCATCATTAAGTCTTCCATAAATAACATAAACCGTGTTTGTTTTATTAAACATGAAAGGATAAAAATTTTCAAGATTTGGTGTTTTTATATAAAAAATTTCAAGGAAATGATGTTTATTAAAACTTTCAAGGATAAAAAAGAAAAAAGAAAAAAGAATGGATAGAATAGTATTATACAAACTTTGGTGCAGTGATGGAGTAGCATCCCTTGTGATAGGTATATGAGTGCTTAAATAATTAAAATGTGACTGAAATGCAAATCAAAGTATCAAAATAAATTCAATAATAATCTCAAATATGCTTGGTATGCATGTGTGTGAGTACATTTATATATATAAATGATAGAAATATTATAATCGAGTGGTCCAAATTAGTCAATTAATTAGTAGATTTTAGCATAATATAAAGGTTATATAAATTTCTTTAACCCAACAAAAGAATTAATAGATGTTGACAAAAAAATAAAAATAAAAACTAATAAAGAAAATGGAAACCGGAAGGGGGAGAGATTGATACTGTCCCTTTTCAATTCCTTGGATTGAATTAGTACATTATATAAAGTTCTTACTTACAAATTAAAAAAAAAAAAAAAACTAACAAGCTAAGTGGACAAGGAAAATCAAAGTAAAAGAAAATTGGGCAGCAAGAGTTTATTGTGCAGAAAAGAAAGTTAAGCAAAGATTGTAGCCTTCAATGGTAATAAAATTAGACAAGCCATATGTATATTTATATATTCCTCCGTTATAGCTTAGTCAAGCGCTGAATCAGCTTACCACTTGTGCATGGGGAGAGAATTCAAGGACCAGAAAGTTGCTGCTGCTGCTTGCATGTAGGGCTACCTCTCTCACCATCCCTACTGATCAAAGATGGTTCTATAGGATGACTGCTGCTGTTCTCTTTATTAATGAGAGATGTGATAGCAGCCGCAACAGCAACCCTAAATTTTGGATCAGAAGCTATTGCTGTTACATTCTCAGCCATCAGTAACTTCTCTTCTTGCACTCTATGGCCAGCAAAATTACTGCCATGAACATTAGCAGCGCTATTTTGGTAACTGCTTGATCGGCTTTGCATCCAATTACTGAACGAGCTGGGGTACTGATTATGACTAGCCGAAGAAGAAGAATATTGTGAAGAGCTAGCCATCATTGGATGCTGTAGTAGTGATCGATCTCGATCGTGTGTAAGATCAAGAACAATCCCTTTGGAAGGATCATTGGGGTTTATGCTTCTGAAGTTCGATGAATATTGAGGGTTCCAGGCATGGTATGGAAGGGAATTAGCTTGACCAGTACTGATCATGCCATCAGAGAGAGGGTTACTGGAATTCAGTAACATAAAGGAAGCTGCTGCAGAGGCTGTTGAAGCCATGGCTGTTGCTCCCACAGGGAGTGGATGATTATGAGTCCCTTCATATGTTGTTATCAGAATTGACATATCCTCTAGACATCTTTGCACCTAGTAAAAATCATAACACACAAAATATTAAAGAAAGAGAAAACAGCAAATTAAACTAATCATGTGCTTAAATATAATCACAAGAGTTAATCTGTGCTTGCTGATCAAGTATCATGCCTGTTTCCTAACTGGGCATCCTGGAGAAACCGTGCAACGGTAGTAAGCTCGAGGGCAAGGATTTCCTTTGGCAATCTTCTGCCCATATTTTCTCCACTGGCACCCATCATTCATCTGAAAATCAAAACATTTAGTTAGCAGCACCCCAACTGCATAAATTTTGAATATAACATCTTGAAAGTAAACAACTTACAGTTGCTGCCTGGCATCTGGCTCTGACTGAAACCCTAGCCTTTCTGTTGGCTAAAGAAGCACCATGAGCAGTGATTCCAGCTCCTCCCAAATCAGTTCTTTGATTACTATTATTATTATTATTCTGTGATATTGTTGGTGCATGGTTTGCAGTTTGATCTTCCTTATTATTCTCTTCCATATCCTCCTCTCTTTCTTGTTGACTTGTACTTGTAATTTGTAGCCTCAAGGACAGCCCTAATTCACCTTCTCCAACAGAGTCACCTTTCGTAGATGCTACTGCCTGGTGTCTTTGGATATAACTAGAATCTGACTGTCTGGGTATAGCCTTCGGCACTTCTTGAACAGCTTTGTTATCCTTAACATCAAGTCCGAGAGAGATTTGCGGATCCTAAATAAAAATAATGAAAATATGTCCATATTTTGCTTCTTCCGGCCCGTAAAACTAAAGAAATAGTATTGTATGTATTAAATTATTACCTTCTTCTGGTCCATATTTTGCTGAAAAGAAGCAAATCTGATTCGAAGATCATGGTAATCTTTCATGGTTTGCTCTACTGTTCTTCTCAAGACTTTGTTCTCTTCCTTCATGCGACTTATCTCCATTTGTAAACCAGATAACTGCATATCCATATTGCTTTCACAAAATTGTCACAAACAATTACTGTGTGCGAATTAAAGCAAGCCTTCATGAGATATACATATCCATGTTTTGAAATTATATAGAGGGTTATAAGCGCGCTCACGGTCGAACTTAGCACCTCGTATTATTCTTGAGAAGGAGATAGAGAGATGAACATAACTTTATATATACATATATATATATTTGAAGGGTTATTTGAACAACTCTTGTGTTAATTATGCTTAAAAAAAAAAGTACCGAGTACCTCTTCAGTTTTCATGTTTTCCAGAAGGGATGAATCATCTTCTGCTCCTCCTCCTCCTCCTCCTGTTGTTGTTGCTGCTCCTGCTGCTTCACTGATATCTTGTATGTTTTGTCTATCTACCTCCTCTTCTTGATGATTTCCTCCCCCTTTTTCACCATGGCGCCTTTCTTCATCTCCATCCTCCTCTCCTTCACTTTCAGCATCTATTTTCAGGGATAGATCAGTATCCATCTTCTCTTCTCTTCTCTTCTAGTCGAGAACAAGATGCAATCTCTCTCTCTTGTCTGTATGCGCTGCTTTTGAGGCACCAAAGTCAATTCCCTCGTCTCATAGATGTAGTATTCGTAGCGTTGGACACACTAGGACGCATCTAAGCTTTGACTTTAATTGGCTCCTTAATTAACTCTCAATTAAATTAATCAACTTATAGTTCAATTAATAAACTTTGGTTAACCAGGAATATTTCACAACTGAGGCCTGCCAAAGCATGAGAAGACCATACTAGCCCTACAACAACATCCCACATAGCATGAATTTGAGCGTGGGCATGGCCCTTTTCTTGTCATTTCAGCCAAGCCTAGCCTGCAATATTGAATTTAACAAGCAAGAAGCTCACTTTTAAAACTAGCCCTAGAGTCACTGGTCATCTAGCTGATTATATGCTAATAATTAAAGCATGCACCCATTCCAAGCCTACGGAAATGTAGCCTCTTGAATTTATTGACCCTCCCTTCTCAAGACGAATAATTAATCAGCATAACAGCCTGTGTTTATGAGCAGCGCTTCCTCAATCCACCCTTCCATGCACCGTGCATCAAGGCCATGGCCTCCTGCAACTTTTATTTTCTTCACTCTCTCTCTTTCTCTCTATCGCTCTCTCTCTCTACATGTATATATATATACACACACACACACATATATGCATGTATGTATTCCTTGTCAACGGAATCGTTCCGAGGGGGCTGGCTTGATAGTTATTAACGGTGAAAGTTAAGTAGGATTTCCATGTATAGTTTATGATTGATGGGATCGAAGGAAATACAAATATTTTTTGTGATAAATAGGATATAATAAGCAGATTCTTTCGGCTATATATCTATAGTTGAGGGAAATAAATAAATAAAAAAGAGGGAGCTCTGACATCATCTCATCTCAATTGAGGCCTGTACGAAATCCCATAACAGGAGAACCCATTGGGATCAGATCTAGAAATTGTCAACTCGTAAATCTCACAAATCTCCCTCTCCACTCCACGTTCAAAGCGTAATATATAATACTATATTATATAAATATTTTATCTCTAATGCTAACTTGAAATGCTAAACAAAAGTCAATGCGGTTCTCCTCTCCTCGTTTCTTTTCTCTTCATGTGTATATATTATGTGTGTGCGTTGATTTTTTGGTTCTGAAAATCGAAAACCATTAACGGTGAGGCAATATCAGCTTGAACCTGCAAGCTAGCAGGTAAAAGACACTTTGAGTAATTATTGTACTCGAAAGTATCATCATATCATATCATAAATATAAGAATAAACTAAAACTAGATGCGTTTGGGAATAGTGTAGATTCCCTGTTCCTAAGATTTTTTTTTTTATGGGCATTTGTTTTGTGATATTTCATGATTTGTTTTAATTAAAAATAAATGTTGATCCCTAGAGGCTCCTGAATGAAAGAAAATTTTGATAGTAATCCATAAAAATATAAAAATATAAGTTTTCATCAATTTAGAAAAATTTGGATGTTAATTCATAAGAATAGATGATTTCATCAATTTAGTAAAATTTAAATATTCATCCTTAAAAATAAATGATTTTATTGGTTTAAAAAAAATTAATTTTAATTTTTAAAAATGAAAAGCTTAAAAAAATATATATAGTCAAGTTAGACATGATAACAAATAAATAAAAACCATAAATTTCTATATTTTCTCAAATTAAAAGATGCACATGCTTTTCAACCATAATAGGGATAAAACCTTAAGGTTAAAAAAAACTGTTTTTAGGATTCAATAACACACCCACATAAAACATTTCATATCCTAAACTTTTTCAAAGAAACAAAAGAAACTTTATCTACCATATTTTTTCATGATCCACGGTACAACACTTCATGTTTAATAAATGTTAGCTTCTATCATTTAAAAACCATAAATTACTTTCAAAATAATTTCCTTGCTTAACATAAACCCTAATGTAGCTTTTTTATTAATTTTTACAACAATAAAAGCATGGAAGGATCTTCATTAGTGACTTCAAGTGGCCAAGTTTGATTCAAATCAAAAATCATTATCCCTTTTTTATTCAATTGTCACTTAAAAAGTGACCATTTTTCTTCAATTAAATCTCTAACTATCCCTTAAAATTATTCCTAATCTTTTTTACTCATTATGACTTAGTCCTTGCTTTTTAAAAATCCATTATATGTCTGTAAAAATATTTTGATGTAAAATTTTTATATTTAAAAGGGGTAAAAAGCAAGTTATGACAGGTGTCATCTCTTTATAATGCTTACAGTATAAAGATTTATGAAAACTATTTTTTCATTGGTTGTGTAGTAAGCTTGTAAAAAAAAATATAATGTTTATGCAAGGTTGCAAGTGGTCAAAACAAAAAATTATTATATGAATGTTAGTTATTTTAAAGTTTAGTTACTATTTACCTAGTCTCTATAATCTGTCTGAAGAGATCATAATTGTTAGATTAAGGTCTTTGAATAATAGAATTGGATACCTAGTGTAGGTTGAATTTCTGTAACTCAAAATAAAACTTTTAGTACTAATTTGAATTCTAGTGACAAAGACTCAAACTTTTTTGTACTAGTTTGAATTCTACTGACTCAAGACAATACTTCTAATAGTGGTTTGAATTTTAGTGATAGACTCAAACTTCTTGGTCATAGTTTTAAATCCAATTATGAAAGATAACACTTTTGGTACTAGTTTGAATTTCAATGGTGTGTGATAAAATTTCTTAGTATTAGTTTGAAATCCAGTGATGCAAGATAACACTTCTAGTACTAGTCTAAATTCTAATAATGCATAATTAAACTTCTTGGTATTGGTATGAATTTCAATGACTCAAGATAACAATTTTTTATATTGGTTTGAATTCCATTAATGACGTAAACTAAAAGTTTTTTTATACTAGTTTATATTCCAATGAATCAAGATAACAATTTCTCAAAATTTACAAGATTCTTTAAACACGAAAACCTCATTATTGCAAGGCTTGAATCAAACATGTTGGAGCCTTGTTGGGCTCCAAAGTAAAGAATAGCTTTACATAATGATGAAGGTGAATCTTCTGGTAGAAAAATACCTATGTTAGATTTTAATTTACTACAACCTTATTAAGTTCAGAGAAAATTTTCACATGTGATTTGTAATGCTTTTTTGCATAGTAATAGGTTAGAAATATAGCTCTCTTTTCATTTCTCCTTCATCAATTGATTTTTGTACTTTTCTCTCAATAGCTTTCAATCACTTAAGTCATTACTCTACTCAAGTTCACTAAAATATTTTCATATTATTTAAAGAATGATAATTTATTCACTATTTGTTATTCATATTCAATTTATTATTTTTATGAGATTTTACATCCTCTAATTATAGTTTGGAGAATGTCATTTTTCCCCTAACCTAAAATCTTACTCTGTTATTTTTTATTATTTTGAGATTTGGCTTCATCAAAATTATGACTTGCTCCCTAGTTTTATTTCCATTTTCTATTTTAAGAAACTCATTACTTTCAATTACCATTCAATCCCTAAGAATAGGAAATTACAGATAAATAAAAATTTTGATATTAATCCCTAAAAATACATGATTTTATAGATTTAATTTTTTTATACTAATCCCTAAAAATAAGTGATTTTGGAATTTTGGATGTTAATCCTTAAAATATATGATATCATTAATTCGTTTTTGTTTGGTTTTTAAAAAATAAAATATTTAATTTTGATAAAGTGTATGATTAATCTAGGACATAAAATCTTGATTAAACTAATTCTTTCCTAACAAATAAACCCTAGATAAACAAATCAAACCCTTCAAATGGGCTTCAAGTTCCTTTTCATTCATGGGCTTCAAGTTTCTTTTTATTCATTCATTTGTCATTTAAGCAAACAAAAACATCCATGTAGCCATAACTCTTCATGTTTAATATAATAAAGGATAAAAACCTTAAAAAATTAAGACAAAAACATGTAGAGTATAAATTAACACATAGAGAAACTCAAAAGAAATGAACTTTAAGTCTCTAAAATATATATTTCCAAGTTAAATATGGCATCAAAAGAATAAAAACCCTAGATTATAAGAACCTTAAATTTTTATATTTTCCCAAATCAAAGGACACACTTGCTTTTTAACCACTATATAGAGCATTCCCATACATAAAAAAAAAAAAAATCTTTAGGATTCCAAAGCAATCCCACACACAACATTTCATATCCTAACCTTGTTTAAAGAAATATAAGAAACTTTTCATGCCATATTTTCCCATGATCCATAACATTAACACTTCACTGCAACATTTAATAGTTTTCCCAAATCAAAGGACACACTTGCTTTTTAATCACTACATAAAGTACTCTCATACATTAAAAAAAAAAATCTTTAGGATTAAAAAGCATTCCACACACAACATTTCATATCCTAACCTTGTTTAAAGAAATATAAGAAACTTTTCATACCATATTTTCCCATGATCCATAACATTAACACTTTACTACAATATTTAATAGTTTTCCCAAATCAAAGGACACACTTGCTTTTTAACCACTATATAGAGCATTCCCATACACAAAAAAAAAAAAAAATCTTTAGGATTCCAAAGCAATCCCACACACAACATTTCATATCCTAACCTTGTTTAAAGAAATATAAGAAACTTTTCATTCCATATTTTTCCATGATTCATAACATTAACACTTCACTACAACATTTAATAGTTTTACTAATATAATTTTCTGACGGCATAAGATTACCATTTCATTAATGAAGATTTTACCAACTAATTCACTGATAAAATTCATTTGTTGGTATACCATTCATTTATAATTCCATCATCTATCACTTATTTGTTAATAAAAAAACACCAATGATTTTATAGACAGAAAATGCATGTTAAAAAAAATACTAGCTAGAAATATGTCGAAGGAATTATTCTATCGGCATATTTTTGTTAGTAATATTAGTATATACAATAATTTTTTTCCAACTTTATAGAAAATACAGATGGATTGAGTCCATCTGTATTACCATCAGTAAATCACCGATGGAATTAGTCAATTGGTGATTATGGCATATGCAGTAAATTTTCTCGAACTCTCTGTAAAATACTAACAGACTATATGTGTCAGTAATATTTAAAAATA